TCCTCCGCCCCTGGTTCCCGCTTCCTCCGCCGCTTCCTCCGCCCCTGGTTCCCGCTTCCTCCGCCCCTGGTTCCCGCTTCCTCCGCCGCTTCCTCCGCCCCTGGTTCCCGCTTCCTCCGCCCCTGGTTCCCACGTCCTCCGCCCCTGGTTCCCACGTCCTCCGCCCCTGGTTCCCACGTCCTCCGCCCCTGGTCCCCTCTTCCTCCGCTCCTGGTTCCAACTTCCTCCTGGTTCCCACACGGAACCGTTTTCTGGGAGATAAATTGTGAGATTAAACACATAGTTTGAAACAATGAGGTGAAAACTGAACTGAGACGAATTTAGGGAAAAATATGTTTTGTTCAGTGCACCTATTCTGAATGTTTAGAGGGAAGTATTGTCACCCCCCCTTTAATAAAAGGAAACTGTTAAAATTATACATTTTCTGCTCAGTAATTGAAGTTTTACATCAAACTTTTCTCACATCTGAGCAGCTTTAGCCTCTTATTTCAGGTGATGAGCTGTGAGGTTCCATCGACTGTCTGCTAATCCTCCCATCCGGTCCCATTAGTCAGAAACGTGTTCAAGAATCCCTGGATTCATATTCAGTCTGAAGAACCACTGTTTTTCTGGCTCTGAAATATATTATTTAAATTCTAGTTTTCACAGTTTATCTTTTTTTCTTCTTGATTTGCAGTTAAAAAAAATCTACCAACTGTTCTCAGTGAGCTTTAACATTATCCATTTAACATGGCTCTAAAAAAGATGGAAATCAGTCAAAGCTTTGCCACTGGGTGGCGCCACTGACCAGGTTGTTTCCTTCAAAGCTTTTCCTGAAACAAACTTGAGTGATACCATCTGACTGTAAACAAACATTTAGATGAAGTCTGCAGAAAGAGACGGCTCCTTAGATTTAGGCTGATGTGACTCTGATGCCAGAAAACAATTGAATAAATAACTGCTTTAAGATCTCCTCCCTGTTACATAAACAAACAGCTGAGTGTTTATCTAAAAACTTCCTTTCTGATGAAATGTATTTTAAAAGTGCGCTAAAAGAAGGAAGGTAATATTCAGGAAGGAGTCACTCTGACACTTCTGCAGGAGGTGAACCATCATCCTCCTCTTTCAGGCCTCAGATCTACATGAAGCAGGAAGGGACATAGGGCTGATTTAGCAGCTCAATTTATTTACCTTCTTTAAAGGTTTACTTTAATCTCTCCAAACCCTCCCAAACGCTGCCGACTGTTTGAAAAGCGTTTACAACTAATAACTCAGAAGATTTTTATGATTATGTTTTAAGATTATTATGGTTATGATAGATTTTTATGTTATTTTAGGTTTATTAATGTTACTTTTTGCTATATGCACTGATTCTGGGGAAAAAAATGGAAAATAATTGCTTCATAACTGTTTTGTGGCCATAAAAATTCATACTTTTTCATTTATATTTACTTGTCCTTTCAAATGATGTATCACATGTAATTTGGGCTTACGGTTCCTAAGTTATTTGCTTTTTCCTTTGGGTATGCAAAAAAAGCGAGGATTACTTGAAACTAGGTGGGTTTTAAGAGGTTATGGTGGTCAAAGTGCTGTAAAGACTCCCTGCGATGGTATAACGAGCAGTTAGAACAAGAATGAAGCCTCAAAACATTAAGACCTCAGAATATGAAGCTCTCTGCTAAACGCCCGTTAAAAAGGAAAAGAAAAAACTCTTAAAATGAAGCTGCAGAGTCTGCTCACGCGCGTCATGAGTTCAGATGACATCCTCTGAATCCAGCCCGCTCTCTCAGAAACCTGCTGGTTTTCATTTAGTCTATCTTTACATGAGGGCTGCAATTGACAATTATTTTGATAATTGATTAATTTGCCATTTAATTTTTCGATTAATCATCAGGGAGTAAAAGGTTCCTTTAAAGAATATTTTATACAAAATTAAACCAGGTGAAACTAAAGATTTTCGACTTGTGGAGTTCTTGATAGAGCATTTTGATGGATGAAAAAGTTTTTGTTTTATCTTAAATACAAAAATTTTTCCAATTTTGGTATAATTCCTGCTCTAAGTGGGTCACTCTGTCAGCTAAAGGCCTGTTTTAGTCTCTCTATACTCCAGTTAACGATTAATCAATAACTAGATTAGCTGAGGATTGTTTAAATAATCAAATAATCTCATTGTTTCAGCCCTTTTTCATATAATTTCCTCCTGAAACGGCTTCATCAACTGTTTATTTGGAGTCAAAGTGACTCTAAATAATTAGGTGTTGCTACCCGATCCTTTCTGGAAGCCCGATCCTAAACATCAGCTCATTTGCGTGACCAGATATAATTCAAGGTCGTCCTCGATTTTAAATAATAAAAAATACCTAAATTATGTTGTCCCTCCCCCAAAATGGTACGCTTGTTAAACTATGTTTTAAAGGTTATTAATTAGGGATGGAACAGTTTATGAAAACCGTCCGAACCGTTCGGTTCGACTGTCTCGGTTCGATTCGCATGTGTTTCGTTCTGTTCATGCGCTGCTCCTTTTTCTCATAGGCGAAGCGTTTACACTCCAGAGCAGAAGGTGGCGGTACTGCGACCAAAGCCAACCACCAGTAGTAAACAAGAAGAAGAAGCGA